TATAGTTCCTGGAGCTTCAGCGTCCACAAGTGGAGCATCAAGTGTTGCGGGAAGCGTTAACACACCTTTGCGACTTGCTGGTACTACAGGTAATCAAATGATGCAAGTTCCTTCTGGAATGCAGCTCGTGCAGATTCCAACTCAAGGTGGCGGCACTGTTACTGTCCCTTATTCTATGAATGCTAGCGGTGAGATTGCGTTCAGTGGAATGCAACTCAGCCGACAAGACTTCAGTGGTGCTCAAGTGCGCCAAGGATTCAATGCAACTCAAGCTCGAACTCCGCAAGCTGTAAAAACTGGACATTTTGATACGTCAAATGTCTTTCACAAAGCTATCAAGGGAAAGGATGAGAATGACAATGATGTCTATCTTATTCCATGTCCTGCTGGTACGACAAATGTCAAACTTCAAGCCGACTGGCACTATGCTAGTGAAGATGAAGATTTGCCTGATCTTGCTACTGAAGCAGATCGAGGTCTGCAGTTTATTCAAAGCCACAGAAAGGAAAGAGATCCATTTGGGTTGTACGATCATGTCATCATGGACAGTGGTTGTACAAACACCACCATTTTTAATGGTGAGCTCATGCATGGACTCCGTCATGCTGAGAAAGAACTTGACATGCACACTAAAGTGGGCAGCAGAGTTCTCGACAAAGAAGGTTTTCTAGGAAGATTTCCACCTCCAGTCTATTGTGATGGAAACCAAAAGATGCGATTTGTTAATCGTAAGGGTGTGTATGTGTTGGAGCAACTTGGAGCGAATGTCAAACCAGGTGCCAAAGAGACAAGTGCGATGTACCGTCGCCAGTTAAGCAACTTAAATAATCAACCCCATTTCGAACTTTGTGCAAACAAACAGAATGGATATTCTGGACTCAAGATGACCTCCAAGATGGCAACTGTTTGAAAGAAGAAGGAAGGATTCACTCCAAGACAAGTCAACGCTGCGATGGAAGCGAGAAGTGCAATGCACATACTCAATGCTCCAAGCACCAAAAGTCTGAAGTATGCGATCCAATCTGGTCTCATCAAGAACTGTCCTATCACCGAAGAAGCGATCAATCATGCCGAAGCAATCTTTGGACCTGACGCCTCTACATTGAAAGGCAAGTCAACAAGACCAACTCCAAAGAAGACGTACGACGACTTCTTCAGTCCACCAGAGGAATTATATCAGCACAATCGATCTATTACCGTCTGTATTGATCACATGGAGATCGAGAATGCTAAGTTCCTCACCTGCATTGATACCACTGTGCATTATCGCTCATGTATTCCCATGCAGAACCTGAAGACTGACCCTGTATTTGAAGCATTGGATAAGATATTCCGCCGCTACAACAAGGCAGGCTTTCAAGTCAAGATCATCAAGTGTGATCGGATGATATGCTAGACGCTATGGGTGTTACTATTAACCCGACTGCAGCTGGAGACCACGAGCCTACCGCTGAGCAAAACAATAGGACGCTGAAAGAAAGAGTCAGAGTAGCTCTTGCACGATTACCCTACAAAGTAATCCCAAAAGTGATCACTGAATGTCTTGGACGTCGCGCCGCCGAGCTATTGAATGTCTTTCCCCAGAAAGACAGTATCTCATCACATTTCAGTCCGCAGCAACTCATTGATAATGTCAATATCAACTACAAGAGTGACATGGTTGCTGAACTTGGACAATATGTTCATGCAATTGGGACGGATTCCAACAATTCAATGGAACCCAGAAGTATTGAAGCGATTTACATTGAACCTACGAAGGGACAATGTACTGGGCACCCAGTGCTCAACCTCAATACTAAGAAGATAATTTCCCGACCCAAGGTCGTTGTACTACCCGTTACCGATCAAGTAATCCAGCGTGTTGAAGCTTGGGCTGCTGCCAAAGGTGTTACTTCCATGAAGTTCTTTGATAAGAAGAGAGATTTGGAGACATTTCAAGATGGCGATCAAATTGCAGGAGTGGATGACACGGAACAAGGTCACTTAGAAGAAGCCTTTGATCAGGACTATGAACCTGAATTCGATGATGACAATTTGATGATATCGATGACTCCAAAAGAGAAGAGCTCTTGGCAGATGCAGGCAATGATGTCGATGATATGCCAGAACTCACTGTCAGATTCCAAGGAGATGATGACTATGAATCAGACGACAATTCGGGTGATGAAGGCGACGAAGAGGAAGAACCTACTGTGGCCGATTTGGATCACCATCAAGAAAATGTCGATAGAGGAACGGATGATATTGGGAGCCTCGTTACTGATCTGGAGGATCTACAAGAGCCGCCAGGAGAAGAGATTGTATTTGAGCCTGAAGAGCCTCAAGTAGCAAAAGTCACTAGATCTGGGCAAACGTATGCGCAAGCTGCAATGTCTGGGCTGAACCTTTCCCAAGTTCCAAAGAGACCAAGAGAATGGCCTTTGAGCAGGAGTGGCAGTTCTGCCAATAAGAACAAGAATCGAGTTGCGACAAGACGCAAGCATCAAGAAAGAGAATTGAAACCGTTGAAGAACAAGTTAAAATCTGGTATTTGTACCAAAGAAGGAAGTCACATTACTGAAGACAGTAAAGCTATCATTGAAGCAAAGCACAATATATGTTTCCAACAGATTGGGAATGAGATGAAAGCTGATTATGAAGAGCACGACGCTATTCTAATCGCTCGTTGCATGATGCAGATCAAGGCCAAGTTCGATACTGATGAAGGTCTGAACTTCATCCAACAGTATTACATCAATCAAGGACTTAAAAAGCTTGGTGATGATGGAAAGGATGCTGTGGATAAGGAATTGAGACAAATGCTCCTGAGAGATTGTTTTACTCCCAAATTTGTTAAAGACATGACCGCGTCTGAGCGAAAGAAGGCCCAATCAGCAATAATGTTACTCGCGGAAAAGCAATTTGAAAAGAAAATTAAAGGTCGCCTAGTATACCGAGGCGATGGAACTCGTGAATGGTTATCGCGAGAGGACACTGCAAGTCCAACTGCTTTGCAAGAAGCAATCACCACTACTTGTGTTATTGATGCACATGAAGGTAGAGATGTAATGACGCTGGACGTACCTAATGCTTTCATTCAAACTTATATGCCTGATGCTAAAGAAGGAGAAGATCGTGTCTACATGAAAATCACTGGCATGATGGTCCAGATATTGATTGACATGGCCCCAGAGTATCGCGAATACGTTGTATTAGAGAACAGAAAGCGAGTAATCTATGTGCGGGTACTACGTGCTATTTATGGGATGTTACAATTGAGCCTCCTATTCTATAATCAGTTTCAAAATGATTTGGAGGCAAAGGGATTTGTTTTCAATCTGTATGACCCGTGTGTTGCTAACAAAGTTGTTGATGACAAACAGCAAACTATCAGATTTCATGTTGACAATCTTATGTCAAGTCACATGGATCCAAAAGTAAATGGCGAATTTGCTGAGTGGTTGAACATGAGATGATCCGTGTGTTGCTAACAAAGTTGTTAATGAAAAACAGCAAACTATCAGATTTCATGTTGACGATCTTATGTCAAGTCACATGGATCCGAAAGTAAACGACGAATTTGCTGAATGGTTGAACATGAGATATGGTTCGATTCAGCCATGTAAGATCGTCAGAGGAAAGATACACAGATATCTTGGAATGACTTTGGATTTCTCGGTGAAAGGAAAACTCAAGATCCGCATGGACGACTATGTCAAGAACATGTTGGAAGATTTTCCTGTCAAGTTCAACAAGGATTCAAAGCAGGAAACACCAGCTGGTAACGATTTACTGGAAGCTGGTAAAGGGAAGTTACTCAATGCTGAGTACCGTCAGATCTTTCATACTACTGTTGCAAGGGGACTTTATGTCTCTAAGAGAGCTCGTCTGGATATCCATCCAACAATTACTATTCTTGCCTCAAGAGTTCGAGAACCTACAGAGTCTGATTGGAAGAAGTGTGTTTGCATGATGCGATATTTGTTTTGTACACCGTTGTATCACCTGACACTTTCCGCAGAATCACTACGAGTCATGAAATGGATGATCGACGCATCACTTGTAGTGCATCCAGATTTCAAGAGCCATACTGGCGGCACTCTATCCTTTGGAGGAGGTTCAGCTCAAGTGATGTCGAAGAAACAAAAGCTAAACAGCAGAAGCAGTACGGAAGGGGAACTGATTGCTGTTGACGATGTTGTCACGATGATACTATGGAGGAAGTTGTTCATGGAGTGGCAAGGGTATCCGATCGAGAAAAATATCTTGTTTCAGGATAATAAAAGCGCGATTCTACTGGAAGAGAATGGTCGCAAGAGTGCGGGCAAAAGAAGCCGAGCTATCAATATTTGTTATTTCTTTATCACAGATCAAGTTGAGAAAGGAAATGTTAAGGTTAAATACTGTCCAACTGAAGATATGATTGCGGATTTCATGACTAAGCCATTGCAAGGTGAGAAGTTTCGCAAGTTCAGGGATCTGATTCTTGGTCCACAGGACTAGGTCAGACAAGTATGTATATGTTCAAAATGAAAATACAAAACAAAAATAAACAGTGAATGAGAGCATGTCCCATTGCTGCCAATGGTGATTGTTACAATGGCAGGAGTGTGTTGGGATATGACGAAATATGAGTTTTTATGTTCCAAAAAGAAACTATTCAAGTACAAAGTTTTCAACACTTACGATCGGACTTTGATCGTGATGTCGGGATTCGACACAAGTATGCCTGACGCAAGTCTGTCGGACAATCCACATCCACACAAAAAGGGAATGACCCTATACAAGTGAGATATCGATGTTGTGTACAATGCAGTAGGGAATAATACAAGATGTCCCAAAGTACTGCATCCAACACAGAATTGTCGTAGTGGTCGAATCAAGTTCTGTAAACAAGATATTTTCCAAGGGAAAATGGTTGAACTTACTTTTGTGATTGAATCATCAATTCAAGCCAAATATTAATCAAATAGGAACAATTTCACTCAAAGTATACCTAGACACAGGAGAACTATTGTTGTGAAAGTGTTGTACAGTTGATTACAAATTTAGATTGCAGAGAGTTTGTTCTGAGCGCATCTGAAACAGTTGTTTGGTGCTTTTGGGTGCCATGGAACTTGTCCTATATTGTCAAGTACTTCCCCCTTAATGCTATAGCAATATTCCCTTAATTGACAATTACACTCAAAGTATACCTAGACACAGGAGAACTATTGTTGTGAAAGTGTTGTACAATCGATTACGAATTTAGATTGAAGAGAGTTTGTTCTGAGCGCTAAAGGCACTCACGATAGAGCACATTTCGCTTTATTCTAACACTCTTCATGGCAACACCAAAGACTGCTGAGAACACGATCTACTCTTTAGTCCAAGCAACCATCCCCAATGAGCAATTGTGGGTCTTTCACTGGATTTTCTCTCATGCACTTGGTGCTCTTTTGAAACGTGAGCTTCAGCTTGTCCGTCTCATCATCTCTGATGGTGACTCCACTGAGATCTCCCAAATTGATCAAGCAATGTCCAAGTGGATGCCAGCTGGCATTAGGCTGCGGTGTGTTTGGCACATCACTGATCGTGGTTGGTACAATAACGTCTACGCTTTCCCCCAAAAAAGGTCAGCCAGACGCAAATTCAGGCATACAGCACAAGAATCATCCAGTTTGTTGCTTACAAAGTGGACCAGCTCATGGGAGACAAAGGATGAGTTGAATGTTAGTGTGGATCTCTTCAGATGTGTCCTTTTATCTGATGAAACGAAATCATGCTTTGACCTGCTGCAAGTGCCCTCACTTTCTAAGTGGGCAAACAAGGTTGCTGCAAACATTGAGCACATGGCATTCTGCAAACAAATTTTCCAACCAGCAATGGAAGAGTGTACCAACTCTACCCAAGAGGATAATTTTTCATCCTTAAAGAGGAAAGACGCTCTAAGCAAAAGTAAGCTATGGATATACATTGTTATTCCACCCAAATTTGTTACTCAAATATTTTATATTCCTCTCTTGCAGAAAGGACAATGCTAAGCATGTTCATGATTATTGAACAGAAAGCTGAAGATCGAGTTAAAAAGTTTAAGCAGCAGGTTCAAGACAGTAGGAAGCAACCATGGGCGGGTTTGGTGGCTCATGTCACTCAGTCCCTTACAGGGTATGGTGGAAAGGTATTATTCTCTCAATTTTGTGAGAGGACCAGATACAAATCCATTTGGGAGGCTGAGAAAGGAGTATTTTACGTATGGAGGATGGATTATGAAGATTCATCGTCTAGTTCCACATACCCTAAGACACGTCTACAAGAGGATATTGAAGGGGACGGTGAATCAAGTACTGGCGATGAAATGAGTTCCAAGGATGTAATGATGGAAATCTTCATCCCACGTTTCAAAAGAGTGAGGACATTGTCAATTCTAGAAGATGGGAGACTAAGATGTTCCTGTGGATTCCCAAGGAGAAACCTCATGCCTTGCCGTCATCAACTTCATGTTCTTGATGT